CATTTTTAGCATTAACTGTAATGTATAAGGGTATATATACTTCATGGCTTTTTCAATTATTTTACAGAGCAAAGAATGGAGGAAAATGGAAGAAGTCATGGACTTAACAGAAAACATATGACCTAATACCTGCAGGTAACAGCCTCCAACCCCCCAACCCCCCCAATAAATGTTTATTGGTCTGTCCATTGGTCATTCTGTCTGCACATGTATGTACTATAACACTTTAATTTGGGAACAATATCTCTTAAAGCCTTTGAGCTTTTGCAATATCATTTCATATCACAACTCCTTACAGCCTAGAGAAGATCCCTATTGATTTGAGGTCAAAAGGTCAAGGTTGGAAATTCCTACAATACAAAAAAAACTCAAATAATAACTTTAGTTTCCCTTGAGCTTTTTCTGTTAAATTTTATATCATAATTCCCAATGACTTAAAGAAATCCCCTTTGATTTCAAAGTTAAAAGGTTTAGTTGAAAAATTCATATCTTGCAATAAATAATGTCCTGGTGATAACTTTGGTTCTCTTTGAGGTCTTGAATTTATTTCTTTAATAAAAAAAGACACCAATTGACTTTAAGGCCAAAAGCTGAAAGGTTAAGGTTGACCTTTTTCTTTTTCCATCTGCATTTTTTTTTTTGGTCCAGTTCTTCCATCCTCATTTTTTTCCATAATTGGGGGCCACAATTCTCTGAATTAGCTTGTTTTATATTTGGATCATTTGCAGGTTTGCATTAAACTCAATTAGCCATTTAAGGCATTTGGATCTCTTACAAAATAGGAAATAAAGGTGATTCAGGCTAGCATTGCCAAGGTCCCTTTGTTGTAAAATTGAAATTATTCCCTAATTCCCAATGTCATTTAGAACATCAAAATACATGCTCTTTTGCTTTTGGGTATAAATGAAAATTTACTGTACAAAAATGTCTTCTTTGATTATCATAATTATTGCAATATCAATTATGAACTTTAATTCAAACATCAATTTGTCATTGCTTTTACAGATTTTGAATTCATATCATCAGTGCATATAAATTGGTCAAAAGATGAAAGATCTCAGCATAAATTGTTCAATCATGCAAAGCATATCCTGTCAAATGGAGATTACCCTTCCTTAAAGTGTCAAGTATCTCAGAAATTGGACTATTTGCAATACTGTTCAGGAATATTTTACAGTCAGTACATTTAGCAATAGGGCCTGTTGCACCATGCCAAGGTACAGAGTTGATGCTTCAAGCTGTCGACGGCATTCCAAAGGAAAAGGATGAAACTTTTTTTTAGCTCACCTGAGCCGAAGGCTCAAGTGAGCTTTTCTGATCGAAATATGTCCATTGTCTGTCGTCGTCGTTGTCGTGGTTGTAAACTTTTCACATTTTCATCTTCTTCTCAAGAACCACTGTGCCAATTTCAACCAAACTTTCCACAAAGTATCCTTGGGTAAAGGGAATTCAAGTTTGTTCAAATGAAGGGCCACACCTTCTTCCAAGGGGAGATAATCATGAATTTGTGAAAAATTGATGGCATCACCTAAAAACTTGTCAAGAACCACTGTGCTTGAAAATATGAAACTTATATGGAAGCATCCTCAGGTAGTGTAGATCCAAGTTTGTTCAAATCATGACTTCCAGGGGTAGGGTGGGGCCACAATGGGTGATCAAAGTTTTACTTAGGAATACATAGGAAAAAGCCTTTAAAAATCTTCTTCTCAGAAACAGCAAAGCCATGATTGATCATATTTAAAAGGAAGCATCCTCAAGTAGTGTAGGTTCAAATTTGTTCCAATCATGACCCCCGTGAGTAGGGTGGGGCCAGAATGGTCGATAAAAGTTTTGCATATAATACATGTACATAGGAAAAATTTGTAAAAATCTTCTTCTCAAGAACAGCAAAGCCATGATTGGTCATTTTTATATGGGTGCATCCTCAGGTAATGTAGACTCAAATTTTGTTCAAATCATGACACCCCCCCCCCCCACCCAAGAGAATAGGGGGGCCATAACAGGGGATCAAAGTTATACAAAGGAATACAAATGTTATATCAATAAAAATTGTCTTGTTAAGAACAACATAGCCATTATTTGTCATATTAATTCAAATATTATTATTTTGCTTTATTTCAGTGTAGTAGCTTCAAATGAGTTTTTAATTTTTTTGTTGTTTTTTTGTTGTTTTTTTTTTTTTTTGACAATTTAAAATTAGAGATCATCTTAGTAATAAAATTTTTTATAATGTTGCTGTCTTTAAATTTTCTCTGTAAAAGTAACATGTACATGTACATGATACATTTGGTATTTTTCAAATGCAGTTGAAGGAATTTAATTGAGCATTGTCAAATATTTCATTTAAATACTAGTTGTGTTTTTATGACTTTATGGTATTAAAAAAGACATAAACTTTGTTCTGTTCATTCATTTGTATAATTTTAGGGCAAACAAAATCAGCATTTGTATAAAATGTTTTGCATGTTTAAAAACAACTTTTGCAATGAAGAACTGTATGAAATTTGGGCAACACTGTGAAAAAGTGGATTTTATTTACTGATGTGTTCACACTTTTGAACACTCTCTCTGTTAAACTTGCAATTTTATGTATTTGCAGTTTTTGCAATGTGCATTTTCATGCTAAGGGATCCTGTAAAATGAGCCCCATAGCTACATGTATAGCCAGTTCATTGCTATAATACATTAAGCCTTGTCAAAAACTCATGATTTTTAGCTCTACTGGTTAGAGACCAGAAGAGCTTATGCGATAGTAAGGGGTTGGTCGTCTGTCTGTCCGTCAACAAAAGCTACTCCTCCTACAGTTTTGGTCTGATTCCAATATTACTTGGCACACAAGTAAAGTACACTGAGATACATAATTTTTTTTATCGGATTTTGATTTTGATGAACGGTGTTGCTATGGTTACTGAAATAGAAATTTCTGTAAAATTCTTTTAAAATCTACTCCCCCTTTAGTTTTAGTCAGATTTCCATGAAAAGAGACCAAATCAAGGATCATTATTCTATTTATTTCTGTTGCAAAGTTTCAATTCCAACTGCTACTTATCTCTTCCTTTGTTAGAAGTACAAACCAGTAGAGCTACAGTCTCGAAAAAGACTTCTGGTTAAACAAATATTCAAATCATGCATCTTTGTGACATTCTGGATAAATATGAGCTAATTTCAGTCATGAAGATTGAAGGTCATGTGCCTGAAATGATTTAACGTTCAAAATGTAATCACTCTAGTAGTCCAGTATGCCTTTCTACCCAGATATTGTGTAATTTTGCTAGGGTGAAAAAATCAACTAATTCAAATGTGCCACCAAATTGCCTGTTATTTTTACTTAAATATCTTAAAACAAATACTTCTTGATAAAAAATATAATCACTGAAGTGTCTCTTAAAATTCTATGCCTGTTTTTTCTACAGAATATCCCTTAGAATTATTGTGACCTTTTTGCACTTGCAGTTCTGCACTTACAAGAGTGAAAACTCCATTAATTTAAATTTGCAACCAAAATCCCATTAATACTAAATAATATATTTAAAAAACAATCACTTTTTAAAAATATGAAATCAATGGAAGCGTTTCTTGGAATTTTATAGCTGTTTTTCTGCAGACTATTCAAATATCTTTATTTCTTACAATTATCGTGACCTTTTTGCACTCGTAGCTCTTCACATTCAAAAAGGTATGTGGAAAAAATTCTGTAAATATTTTTTTCAAAGGTTTTATTTCCTTAAATCCATTAGTTATGAAGATATTATGGAAATTTTTTATATACTAACAGAATATGTACAAAAGGTGTTATTTTTCCATACTGGGTATAGAAATAGGCTGACGATAAACTAATTCTCCCTGTATCCATGGTAACAAATCAAATGACGTCACCAAACTTACGCAGTAAGTAAGTGACCTTGATCTCACTTTGTATGCAAAGTTTCAAGAAATTTTGAGAAACTTGCTTTCATAGCATTCTGCATGGTTTTCTCGTAGACACGCATTTAAATAACTTATAAACTAACTAAAAAGCTCATAAAACACATGCCTTTGCATGCTTATTTTCATACAACCTGTCTCAGAGTACATACCTCTCAAAATTCAACAGCCAAAATTTAACATAAAGAAGTATGATCTCGTATCTTATTTACTTATGCATCAAAACACATCATATTTAGACTAAAACTTACGTAAATCAAGAATTTTCATTTGCTAAGTGAATTTTTGAAGATTTTCACTGGTAAATATTAACAAATTGATGTTGACTCTGCCCATGTCCTTCAGAAAAAAATGTCAAAATACCCTAATTTTGAATAATTCTCAAAATTCAAACTGATTACATGCCATTTTTTCCTTAAAATTATTAAGAATTATATCTTATATTAACAAAAATACAAATTTTATCATGGTTGACCACATAAATTTTACAAAACAGTCATTTGAACATGTATACTCCCATTTTTAGGATATCAAGTTTTACAATCATTCTTTGCAAAATTTGAAAAAATAGTAAATATGATCCTAAATTCGCTGTCAAGGAATTTTCGTTACGTCTATCTAAAATGCCTTTTATTTCTTTTTCTTTCACAACTTTGATGAATAAACTTATTTAATAATTTTCTGATGCTCATATTTAATAACTAATGATGTTTAAATGATTGTCAAGCGAATAATCAAACTTGTAATGATTGTTTTTGATGCAATTCAGTGGACAATCTCTGTGACATTTTTTCATATGGTCCGAAGAAATGAAGGAATAGCAGCAGTAAATAAAATCATTCCACCTAATTTTCTTGATTCGTTTATTATATACAAATTTATTTATTAAATTTACTGGGTTTGTCAAAAAAATATTGAATATTTTCAAAATTAAACAATGGTTAAATTTTATGCTTGGGGATGTAACATTTCGTGTCAATTTTGTTACGTCTCGCGCACAGCCGCTTTCAGATACAATCGAAGGAAACTTCGATCGATATGTTCTATTTATAGCAATTAGAGACGTCGTAAAAGATTTACGAACTATGGCTGTGTTCAAATGTGACAGTATTATTTCAAAAATAATCATCATAATTTTATCTGTATTTTCGTGTCAAAACGTTACGTCTGTATACACGTGTCATACATCAAATACTCGGGTGACCAGAGTACGACATCCTTTTGTATGACATTTTCTGGTCTCTACTTTCATTTTTGGTGAGACCCGTGCACGTGTTGGATCAGTTCCAAGAAAAAGATGACAGAAGACGCGAGTAGTAGGTAGGTCATTTACATGTTACGTCTCTCATTTTTTGGGGACCTCATCTTTTTCGGCGATTTAAGGATGTATTTTGAAACATATATAATGCCAGATTTGCGTGTTTGCAAAGAAATAAGAATTAATTTTCTAATAAACTGTAAATATTGAACTATGCTACATTAATATAAGAATTATGCTTATTTATTTTCACACTATGGTTGGACTGATTGTGTCCACAGTTACATCACGCCCCCAATCAAGTATTACCTAAATCTTTTAATTCAAAAATGTTAATTTACATGTGATTAAATTTCAACTGATTGAGCTTAATTTAATTGTATCAAGTAATAACCATTGTAAACTCAATTTTAGAAAATTTTAGAAAATATCTGAAAATTTATAAAAGATGTAACTTTGACAAGATTATTAAGCCACAACAGAATGTGTCATTGTTACATCACTATTTATGAATGTGCATATTTTTTTGTTGATTGGCTTCTGACAACAATACCTAATTGGTGTTTTAAGAAGTGCAAAACACACAATAAACTTGAGTGAAATAGTATGTATTTTACATTGTTCTGTCATTCTTTAACTTCATTACATGATGTAACATAGGACACCAGTTTTTGTGTCCAAGTTAAATTTGTGAAAATATCATGAGATCAGTGTTACATCACTATCAAAGTACGAGTATAGATCTTAATATCCTTGTCAAACTACCTTTTCACCATTTTTTTCTTTTCTTTTCAGGTCATAGAAAGGCCACTGATCACTTCTGTGACTCTTTAACTTGGAAAAGATCAAGATTGATCTCTTGACAGAAGATAAAATGACATTTGTGTAGAAAGGGGTATATACAATACAATGTATATTTTTTAAATAAAACTGAAAATTTGTTCAATTGTTGACTTATTTATTAAGTTAAAATTTTCTTAAAGTTTCCTGTGATTTGATTCAAAGTAAAAACTTAACAATTAAGTAAATTAAAAAAAAAAGTTTGTTGGAAGGCTTCAGTGTCCAGTGTTACATCTCTATATGTTGAAATGAGGTATATAATTTTCTTCCTTTGCCATATGATTATGCAAACTTGGCCAAAAATGCCCAAATGTAAGTGCAACTCCTTTAATAAAAAATTTGTTCAATTAATTTTAATTTTGGAGGAAATTTTCTTTTCTGTGTGCTGAAGTTTGTGTCCTGTTACGTCTGAAACAGAAGGTGATCTTTTTATGTATTAGTCTTTAGATTTGAGTGTAAATGAGAACAATGGACAGAAATTTTGTTTATAAAGGGGCAAAAATAAGTGTCACAAGTTAGATATAATTCGGTGGTAATTAATTAATTTGAATTAAACTTGAAGTGTCTCCGTTACATCACTCAATATTAATGAATTAAATTTTAATTGTATTTTAATTGTTTCAAGTGCAACTATCTCGGCCTTCCTAGGTGACTTGGTCCTGATACCAATCTTCAATTTGCAACAATTTTTAGAGTGATAGCTTAAGTCTGAAATATTGGACACAAAGCTTTGAGTGATGTAACAAAAATTCCTTGACAGTGAATTTAAGATCATATAAAAAGATGGAACAGTCTAAAAATCAATAAAAAATAGATATCAAGTCAATTTGTATGAAAAATGCATAATATTTTGATCCATACAGGCAATTAAGAATTTTAAGTCTGTGTGTGTGCATACAGTGACTTATAGATCCATCGGGCAGAGTCCAGTCTTAAGTTCCATAAATAGTGTACATTATATGTCTTGTATGCTCAGTGACACAATAATAAATACATACTTGCTGTATTGTTAACTAACATTTAAGAAAATAATTTCGATAGACAATTGATAAACTGAATTTTAATTATAATTGGTGTATAAAATTAAAACCGGATCTGTAAAAGTATGGACCTTCCTTAATTGAAGTTTACATATTTGAAATACAGCTGAACTTCGGTATCTCGAACACTGTTATCTCAATAACCATGGATATGTCGAATTGATTTGTAAGTCTCCACCACTAATTCTTAAAGTATTTTACCCCTGATATCTCAAATCCTTGGATATTTCGAAGTTTTTTTATTGGTCCCATCGAGTTTTAGACAAGGAGGTTTGACCGTATATAGGAAAAAATCTTTAAATATCTTCTTCTCAAGAACAGCAAAGACATAGACATCGTCAGTCATATTGATAGGGAAGCACCAAAGTAGTGAAGATTCAGTTTTGTTTAAATTTAAAATATCTCCTTGAGGAGATGAGGGATAGAGTATGACCACAATTGGTGATAAAGTTTGTAGCTCTACTGGTCAGAGACCAGAAGAGCTTATGCTGTAGTAAGGTGTTCATCGTCTGTCCAGCTGTCTAGCTGTCCGTCTGTCTATAAACAATTATTCAGTACGCTACTCCTCCTACAGTTTTAGTCTGATTTCAATGTAAATTGGCACAAAGGAAGACTATCCTAAGATACACAATTTATTGCATCAGTTTTTTTAATTTGATGAATGGTGTTGCCATGGTTACTAAAAATAGAAATTTCTGTAAAATTTCTTTTAAGCGCTACTCCTCTTAAATCTGTTTTGGTCTGATTTAAATATAACTTGGCATACACGTAGACTACACTAAGATACATAATTTAATGCATTGGTTTTTGATTTTGATGAACTCTGTTGCCATGGTTACGAAAAATAGAAATTTCTGTGAAATACCTCGAAAACGCAATTCCTCCTACATTTTTAATCTGATTTTAATATAACTTGGCACACAAGTAGAATACACTAAGCTACATGATTAAGTGCTCAGTTTTGGATTTCCATGAACAGTGTTGCCATGGTTATAAAAATTTATAAAAATAAACATTTGAAAAAAACAATTCCTCTTACAGTTTTAATCTGATTTAATTGTAACTTAGCACACAAGTAGACTACACTAAGATACATAATGTGATGCATTGTTTTTAGTGCCATGGTTACTAAAAAGAGACATATCTGTAAAATTCCTTTAAAACATTACTCCTTCTACAGTTTTGGTTTGATTTCAATCTAATTTGGCACACAACTAGACTACTATACGATACATGATATTATTTATCAGTATTTGATTTCAGTGAATGGTGTTGCCATGGTTACTAAAACAAAAGAAATTTCTGTGAAATACTTTCAAAACGCTACCCCTCCTACAGTTTTTGTTTGCTTTCAGTATAACTTGGCAGACAAGTAGACTACATTAAGATACATAATTCTGTTTATTGCTGTATGTTTAGGGCTGTCACGGTTCCAAAATTTATCGGGTCGGTTCTGCAAATTTACAGTTTGGTTTCAGGTTTTTAGGTTCAGTTATTTTTTCATCCATTTTAAACCTTAATTTCATGAATTTAACTTGAAAAATCTTTATTTGTTACATTAAAATCACCTTAAAAACAAGCCCTTACCATGTTAACGTTTTGATATTTGTGTTTAAGACTTCTAGGCCGACTACAACATGTAGCTACATCCAGACCATTCTTGCTGGTTTTGATTGTTAACTAATCCTTTTATGACAAGTGTTTTGTCACAGAATGAAGCAGATTTTAGTTATGATGTTTATTTATCACTGTTAATGTCATCATTCTTTTGATTTCAACGCCATTTTTTGTATAAAACAGATTCTAATATATATACCAGACCCGAACTGAAATCCAGAAAATGGAACCGAAACCGAACTGAACAACTTGGATTGCGGTTTTTGGTTGTTTTTGGAAACCGTGATAGCCCTATGCATGTTGCAAAGTTTCAAATCCAATTGCTACTTTTCCTTTGTTATACATACAGACTGGTAGAGCTACAGTTTCATCAGAGACTTCTGGTTTAGGAATGGTATATACAGGGGGAAAAACTGTTGATGAAGAACAGCAAGGCTATATTGACTCAGCCCTATGAGCTTCTTGTTCTTTAAACTGTGTTATCTCAATTTCTCAGTTATCTCTCAGTTATATTTCTGTCTTGTTGAGTTTGAGATAAGGTTTGAGTGTGTTTGGCTGTGTACATTTAACAGAGTTACAGACTATGTATGTGTCTTTTATAGAAGTCAGAATGAACAGACAGCTGCCCATGAGGGGCTGGAAGGACAACATGGCAAGTTCTCAATTTCTAAGGGTAAGTCCCCATCAATTTCTTGGCATAAGTCTCCATCAAGTTCTAAGTGTAAGTCCCCAACAAGTTCTAAGTGTAAGTCCCCATCAAGTTCTAAGTGTAAGTCCCCATCAAGTTCTTAGTGTAAGTCCCCATCAAGTTCTAAGCATAAGTCTCAATCAAGTTTTAAGTGGGAGTCTCCATCAAGTTCTAAGTGTGTCCCCATCAAGTTCTAAGTGTAAGTCCCCAACAAGTTCTAAGTGTAAGTCCCCATCAAGTTCTAAGTGTAAGTCCCCATCAGGTTCTCGGTGTAAGTCCCAATCAAGTTCTAAGTGTAAGTTCCAATCAAGTTCTAAGTGTAAGTCCCCAACAAGTTCTAAGTGTAAGTCCCCATCAAGTTCTGAGTGTAAGTCCCCATCAAGTTCTAAGTGCAAGTCCCCATCAAGTGCTTAGTGTAAGTCCCCATCAAATTCTAAGTATCAAGTTCTAAGTGCAAGTCCCCATCAAGTTCTATTTTAGTGCAAGTCCTCATCAAGTTCTAAGTACAAGTCCCCATCAAATTTTAAGCATAAGTCCCTATCAAGTTCTAAGCATATTCATATCAAGTTCAAAGTGTAAGTTTCCATCAAGTTCTAAGTGTAAGTCCCCATCAAATTTGAAGCTTAAGTCCCCATCAAGTTCTAAGCATAGGTCTCCATCAAGTTCTAAGCATAAGTCTCGATCAAGTTCTAAGCATAAGTCTCCATCAAGTTCTGAGCATAAGTCCCCATCAAGTTCTAAGCATAAGTCTCCATCAAGTTCTAAGCATAAGTCCCCATCTAATTCTAAGTGTAAATCCCCATCAAGTTTTAAGAGGAAGTCCACATCAAGTTCTAAATGTTGGTCCCCATCAAGTTCTAAGTGCAAGTCCCCATCAAGTTCTAAGCATAAGTCTCCAACAAGTTCTAAGCAGAAGTCCCCATCAAGTTCTAAGTGCAAGTCCGCATTAAATTCAAATGCAAGTCCCCAAACAATCTAAGGCAGCTTTGTGAATCAGAGACTTTCAGTCTGCTTTGCTCTATACAATCTCTTAACAGATTAGGAGACTATACCTTTGGTTTTCAAAGAAGGTTTTAAGCAGACATGTGTTAGCTTCATTAATTTTTTTTACTTTGAAAGTGTTAAGACAGAGGGTAAGTGTTTTTACAAAATGATGATTTGCTATGTCCGCTTGTAAAATGTAAAAATAGTTTAAAGAAAAAGATTCAATCTGTGATATTTTCAGCAAAAGAGGGTCAACTTGGAGTTAAACAAAATAGAAATCAAGTAGAAAAGACCCTTTAAAATCAAAATTAAAATATTTTCAGGAAATTACCCACCAAGAAATCTGTCTTTAAATTGTCCTGTATGTAAAGTCCTCTAGCTATAGGGAGGCCCTCTAGGGATATTGTATTTTGTGATTGACATGTATGTGTACATGTATATCCTACAGAGAAATTGTATTGAAGGAGTAAAGGAATAATCTTTCTTGAAGAAGTTCTTTAAATTCTTTCTTTTCTATTTCAACAGTTAATGATCCATCATTGGACTCTGAAGAAATGAGCAATGGTGTCTCACTTCAGTTAGAAGGTAAATGTAAAGTACATGTATCCATCTCATGGGTGTGCAATTACCATCGCCCGAAGCCCAGGGCTACCAATTTTAGAGGTCGGGCTATCATAAATCTATACTGCGTTAGCCTGTCGGGCTAGTATATCTTAAACGAAATTTTACATATATTTACATCGACTGCATTGATGTACAAATTAACTTTGTTGTTAAATCATAATCTTTAATTCGTTTTAACCTATATGTATTGTGAGTTGCTATCGCCATTTGTTTCAGTGACAATTATAGTCGATAAAAATAGGGAGAAGTACCTGTCAATAACAAAGCACAAACCATTATTTGTTTTATTTATTTCAACTTAAATGTTCTTTTTTTACCTTTTTGTTATACTTATACATGTATTGTTTTCGGTAGTTAATGGGCTAGTGACTGGCAACCTCGGGCTAGTAACTTTGTTACTGCCACTAACCTGACGGGTTAGTAACTAAAGTTTGTAATTGCACACCCCTGCATCTTCAATTTGTAATACCTGAACAGCGATTAGAGCTGAAACCAATTAGTACTTGAGAGTTGGTCATGGTGACCTACTTGTCACTTGTCATTCTCTAAGGACCCAAGATGCATCAACTGACAAAGTTTGATGACTCTAAGCCAATTAATATCTAAAATATTTTTGATCATTACCATAAAATTTTAAAAGTAGGTCACAGTGACCTACTTTTCAGATGACATACTTTGAGGACCCAAGATGCATCAACTGACAAAGTTTGATGATTCTAAGCTAATTAGTTCCTGAAATGTTTAATTAAAGCCATAAATTTTCAAAAGTAGGTCAAGGTGACCTACTTTTCAGTTAGCTTACCACGAAGACCCAGGATGCATCAACTGACAAAGTTTGATGGTTCTAAGCCAATTAGTACTCGAAATATTAAATTATAGTCATATAAATTGAAAAGTAGGTCATGGTTACCTAGTTTTCAGTTGACCTACTAAGAGGACCCAAGATGCATCAACTGACAAAGTTTGATGATTCTAAGCCAATTAGTACCCGAAATATTTAATTAAAGCCTTAAATTTTCAGAAGTAGGTCATGGTGACCAATTAGTACCTGAAATATTTAATTAAAGCCATAAATTTTCAAAAATAGGTCACTGTGACCTACTTTTTAATAAATATGCTTTATGGCCCCAAGATGCATCATCTTACAAGATTTAATGATTCTAAACATTTCAGTATTCGAATTAATGACCTTAATTGTTTTGAAAAAGATTAGACATAAAATTCAAAAAGTAGGTCAAGGTGACCTACTTTTAGTTGAAGTACTCCGAGGACCCAAGATACATCAACTGACAAAGTTTGATGATCATAGGCCTTAAATTGTTCAAAATATGCCTCTAAATCATTTTGAAAAGAATAGCTGCAAAATTTAAAAAAAAGTAGGTCACTGTGACCTACTTTTGAGTCAACATGATATGAGGTCCTTAGATGCATATACTGACAAGATATGATGATCCTAGTCCTTATAGTAAGCAAAATATCAACATTTTAATAAAATGTAATTTTTGGTCAACTTTGAAGTGACCTTGAGACCACACCCTTTGCCCCAGGGTAAATCCCCGTGCAAATTTTAATCTACAAAATATCCTCATCTTTTTGTATAAGGTTGGTGATAATCTGCCCAGTGGTTCTTGAGAAGAAGATTTTTTAGCAACCAGTACTTTTGTTTCTATTTTCCTAATTATCTCCCCTTGTTTAAGGATCACAACCCTAGTTTTAGTAAAAACGGGAGCCCTTGGGCCAAGGACACCCTGTGGCAAATTTGACAATAATTGGCCAATGGGTTCTTGAGTTATGGCCCGTATTCTCAAACGCAAACCGCACACCACACAAATGGCCATAGCATTAGCTCTTTGAGCCTTTGGCTCAGAAGAGCTAAAAATTCAGCATTCGAATATTCAGTCACATGTCTTATACTTAAATGTTTTCTTTGTAGATTGAATTATATTGTTAATAAGGATTTAACGCTACTTTATCGAAAAGATCAGATTCCACTGAACTGTTGACTCACTCTTGGGATTAAATTACCATTAGAAAGTACCAGAAATATGATTAGACATTTTAACAAATATGCAAATAATTTTTTTCTAGTGTAAATCCATTTTAATACACTCAGGGTATTTTATTTTCATATGGAGTTTTATCCAGGCCTACCAGTTTCATCACCAATTGTATGCAAGGCCTTCGTGATTTTCATGCGTTTTTCTAACATGGGTTTCACTAATTATGCAAATGACTACTTTTTATATGTTTTCTTTAAGAAAGAAATAATCCCAAAATCTATTTTTGTTTTACTAAATTTTTTAAAAACATGTTTATTTAAAAAACTGATATCTGGAAACAGGTTCCATTTTAGTAACATGTTCAGTGATGTGTAACGTGGATACCCAATAGCGCACATGGACTTTCGCTTTTCTACAACATGTGTCATTCTGAGATGATTTTTCTGTATTTACCATAGTTAGAATTTTATAAATTGTAGCATGTTAAGAAGGTTCAGTAAACACAGAAAAATACACATTTTTCTACCACAATATGGGCAAATTTCTAATCTTGCATCATTAAAAAAAGGTCTATCCAGGTCAATAAGTGAGATCTAGTTATATAAGGTGAGATATTATTCTAGTCATACAAAATTACTGATGGTCTTCAAATGGTAAAGGTATATTATAACATTAAGAAAAATATACTTTTAATATTTTATTGACGAATGTTCGAATATGAATAGAATAGTTGTCACAAATATTCGAATATTGATTTTTATGCCCTGCCATGAATATGGCCTGGGCATATAGTGTTTGTTATATCCGTCTTCCGTCCTTCCATCTTTCCGTCTGTCCTCCTGCCACACTTTGCATTTAGCTCAGTTCAAAGCCCAGTTTCAAAGAAACTGTCCAAGATATTTTCATCAAACTTCATATGCTGATCGATATTGATGAGAGCTATGAAACTGCATGAACATTTTTTACCTTTCCTTTGACCTTGACCTTTCCTTTGACCTTGACCTCACATTTCCTAAATTAGTGTTTAGCTCAGTTTTAAAGATACCATTCAAGATAGTGTAATCAAACTTCATATGTTGATACATACTGATTTGAGCTATTCAACTGCATCAACATTTTTTGACCTTGACCTTTTCTTTGACCTTGACCTCACTTTTCTTAAATTAGTGTTTAGCTCAGTTTTGAAGAAACCATTCATAATATTTTTATCAAACTTCATATGCTGATACATGCTGATAAGAGCTATTCAACTGCATCAACATTTTTTGACCTTAACCTTTCCTTTGATCTTGACCTTACTTTTCTTAAATTAGTTTCAAACTTCATATGCTGATACATACTGATGTAAGCTATTCAAATGCCTCAATATTTTTGACCTTGACCTTTCATTTGACCTTAACATCACTTTTATCAATTTGTGTTTAACTCAGTTTTAAAGAAATTATTTATAATATTTTTATCAAACTTCATATGCTAATACATACTGATGGAAGCTTTCCAACTGCATCAACATTTTTTGACTTTGACCTTTCCTTTGACCTTAACTTTATTTATTTCAGATTAGTGTTTAGCTCAGTTTAAAATAAATCATTCAAAATATTTTTATCAAACTTAATATGCGGATACGTATTTGTGAGAACTATTCAACTGCATCAAAAAAGTTTGAACTTGAACTTTCCTGTGACATTGACCTCACTTTTCTTGAATTTGCATTTTGCTTAGTTTTAAAGAACCCATAATGATTTAAGGATGTACAACACACCTACCCCAAAAATTTCCTGTCGTTTAATTTTCGCTATTTTTGTATATCTTATACATGACCATATCTACTATGTGTATGTACATTTTGGGCAAAATCGTTCGAGCCGAATTTGGACAGGAAGTTCCTAAAGTTACCCCCCTTTGGCTGATCAAGAGTACAAAAAAAAATCAACAAACTAACTATAAAATCCCTTATTTTAAAATATTTAAGGTTAGCCTAGCTGTCAAAATTTGCTGAATCGTTCGTTTAACTATTAAACACACAAACAAAGTGAATTTGTAGAGGTACACTTCGAGAAAAACGATTTTGAAGAATTTAAACTGAAAAACTATGGTTCATTTTTGCATTGAAAAATGCGTGATTTTCAAATGAAATATTTTTTTATGAAAAAATCTGTCGTTTAATTTTGAAAAAAATTATTACTTCTTGTAACTGATGATCAAAATGTTCTTGATAATTTTTTGAAAATTTTTTAAACGACGAGTTTTGAATTTATAGAGGAAAATCTACGCTTACGCACTTATACATAATTTTGTGAGAATTTATCATCTATATCCAACATTTTAGATTTCAATTTTAAAGAAACTACTCACGATACTCTCATCAAATTTCATACGCTAATACAAATTTTCATGATGCATTACTAATGTACCCTCGGCGGGGCATTCATGTCCTATGGACATATTTCTAGTTGGTATTCGTTTCAGCTCCAACAGTGATTTTACTCTTTATAACATTTTCAACAGTGAGGTACTGAAAATTATTAATGGAATATAAGTGATATTTTGTCACTTGGGGTACCCCGTAGTGACATTTCTTTGAACACTTTATTGATGCTGTAATATACGTCACATCTTTTTCTCTCACTGTAAAATTTTTTTTGACAGTTGATGATGGGGCAGAGCCTATTGATGCTGTAATATATGTCTCATCTCTTTCTCTTACTGTAAATTTGTTTTTGACAGTTGATGATGAGGCAGAGTCTATTGATGCTGTAATATATGTCTCATCTCTTTCTCTCAATGTAAATTTGTTTTTGACAGTTGATTATCATGGGACAGAGTCTATTGATGCTGTAATGTATGTCTCATCTCTTTCTCTCAATGTAAATTTGTTTTTGACAGTTGATTATGGAACAGAGTCTATAGCTGATGATGAGTCTGTTGATGAAGATTCCAGCAGTGACCTTGACCCTGAAGATGAAGTGGTTAGTGTTAGGTATAGTTAACACATTCTCTGTCTTATTTTTGGTAGAATTTCATGATTTAGGTATCGCAACAGTGTTTCAGACATATCATAAAAACTTTTCAAAAATTTCTTTATCTAAAAATAATTTACATTTAAAACTTCTTCGTCCTTGATAAAACTACAAATGATAAAAAAGCCTTGATTTCTTCACAATGCTTTTAGTTCATCAGTAGGTGTGGTTAAATAAAACCAGGTGCTAAGCAGGAGTGAGGGAAAGAGAATTTGGCAGGGCTAGGGTTGAGCAAGTCAATTTACGAAATTGTGTAAATGTCAGATATTTTTGGTTTTATGATGTTGATCAAGGGATTGGTTTGTGTTATAATTTTATGCATGAAAGGATTCAGTGCTTATGCAAATTATCACGCAAGTCAATCGCTTGATCACATCATCAAACCAAAAAACTAGTAATCAATAAAATATAAAGCAAAACAAACAATTTGATGTTGTAAATTCATGCTCAGTGATATAATGTGTTTTGTGATTTTATTTCTGACAGTTTTTCTGACCGGTATCGAGATATTTTTAGCTCACCTGAGCTGAAAGCTCAAGTGAGCTTTTCTGATCACCTGTTGTCTGTTGTCTGTCCGTCTGTCCGTCCGTCCGTCTGTAAACTTTTATCATTTTCAACTTCTTCTCAAGAACCACTGGACCAATTTCAACCAAACTTAGTACCTAGTATCCTTGGGCAAAGGAAAGTTTAATTTGTTAAAATAAAGGGCCAAATCCCGTTACAAGGGGAGATAATCAAGAAAAGACAAAAATAGGGTGGGGTCATTAAAAAATCTTCTTCTCAAGAATCACTGGGCCAAAAAAGCTGAAACTTATGTGGAAGCATCCTGGGATAATGTAGATTGTAAATTGTTCAAATCATGACCCCCGGGGGTGGGGCGGGGCCACAATAGGGAATCCAAGTTTTACATTGAAATATATAGGAAAAATCTTTAAAAATCTTCTTCTCAAGAACCTCAGGATCAGAAAAGCTGAAACTTATGTGGAAACATCCTTGGGTAGTGTAGATTGTAAATTGTTCAAATCATGACCCCCGGGGGTAGGGCGGGGCCACAATAGGGAATCCAAGTTTTACATTGAAATATATAGGAAAAATCTTTGAAAATCTTCTTCTCAAGAACCAGTGAACCAGAAAAGCTGAAACTTATGTGGAAGCATTCTGGGGTAGTGTCGATTGTAAATTGTTCAAATCATGACCCCCGGGGGTAGGGCGGGGCCACAATAGGAATCCAAGTTTTACATTGAAATATATAGGAAAAATCTTTGAAAATCTTCTTCTCAAGAACCAGTGAACCAGAAAAGCTGAAACTTATGTGCACCCTGGGGTAGTGTAGATTGTAAATTGTTTAAATCAGGACCCCCGGGGTTAGGGCGGGGCCACAATAGGGAATCCAAGTTTTACATTGAAATATATAGGAAAAATCTTTGAAAATCTTCTTCTCAAGAACCACTGAACCAGAAAAGCTGAAACTTATGTGGAAGCATTCTGGGGTAGTGTAGATTGTAATTTGTTCAAATCATGACCTCTGGGGGTAGGGCAGGGCCACAATAGTGAATCCAAGTTTTACATTGAAATGTATAGGAAAATTTTTTAAAAAATCTTCACCACTGAACCAGAAAAGCTGAAACTTATGTGGAAGCATCCTCAAGTAGTGTAGATTGTAAATTGTTCAAATCATGACCCCCGGGGGTAGGGCGGGGCCACAATAGGGAATCCAAGTTTTACATTGAAATATATAGGAAAAATCTTTAAAAATCTTCTTCTCAAGAACCAGTGAACCAGAAAAGCTGAAACTTATGTGGAAGCATCATGGGAAAATGTAGATTGTAATTGTTCAAATCAGGACCCCCTGGGGTAGGGCGGCTCCACAATAGGTATTACAAGGGGGGAAATCTGGTAAAGAACAGCATGGCCAAAGTTACTCAGGCGAGCAATGTGGCCCATGGGTCTCTTGTTATCAAACTTCATATGCTGTTGCATTTTGGTGTAGACTGTTAAACTGCATCAAAAGTTTTTGAACTAAACCTTCCCTTTGACCTAGACCTAGTTTTTTTGATAGTTGCATGTAGCTCGAGCTCAGTTTCAAAGAAATCTCAATATAAAGTTTATGCACTGATGCATAATTAAAATTATTAATTTGGCAGGAATTTATGAACTGTGGCATTTTTTTCTTTTAAATCCCAATGACCTTCAAGTTTACTTTTCATTTTGTAAAATTTATGTTTAAAAGAAAATATACAAGATATTTTTTGTCAAACTTCATACACTAAAATAAATTGTCATGTTGCATTATAAATAATTCTTGCGTTGGGTATTCATGCCCTATGAATATATTTCTAGATACCCGTTATTATTTACAAATTTTAATTAATTTACATGATAAATTACCGTAATTAGTGCACACTATTTCAAATTCTTATATTGTAGGAAATGGATATAAAACAGGAACTAAACTCTGAGGATTACACCCCGCAAAACTCTGAATCCACCACTCATTCCGAGAGCAGCACAATCCATACTACAGCCAGAAAATCTGATGAGTCAGGGGGAGATAATCCTTCCTACATGATTACAGAAGTAAAACAAGAACCTGTAGAGTCAGGGGGAGATAATCCCTCCCACATGATTACAGAAGTAAAACAAGAACCTGTAGAGTCAAGGGGAGATAATCCCTCCCACATGATTACAGAAGTAAAACAAGAACTTGTAGAGTCAGGGGGAGATAATCCCTCCTACATGATTACAGAAGTAAAACAAGAACCTGTTGAGTCAGGGGGAGATAATCCCTCCCACATGATTACAGAAGTAAAACAAGAACCTGTAGAGTCAGGGGGAGATAATCCCTCCTACATGATTACAGAAGTAAAACAAGAACCTGTTGAGTCAGGGGGAGATAATCCCTCCCACATGATTACAGAAGTAAAACAAGAATCTGTTGAGTCAGGGGGAGATAATCCCTCCCACATGATTACAGAAGTAAAACAGGAATCTGTTGATAATTACTCTGATTCCCTGGATTCTGTGTTACCAAGTGACACAAGGGAGATAAACAGGGAGGAACTAGAAACAATAAAGACAGAACTAGACAGCACACCTGAGAGCAACAGCAGTGGACCGAAGACTTCAAGTGACCTTTGTGTACCCCATAGCTTAGAATCAATACTCATTGTTAAGAGGAATGACAACAGCTTAGTAATGATGAACTATAATAATTGCATAGGTCCTGGAGACACCACACCGAAAAGGGGTCTAAGCATTTCTTTTGCTTTTCATCCCAGTGATGTTTTTCAATATTTTTTAGGGTTTTGTTTTGTCCTACAACAGTCACATATTTTTTTTTAGATATTGAAATGTATCCAAGTGATGATGATGATGATAAGTCATACGTTCCAGATTCCGAAGCCTATGATTCTAGCTCTTCAGACTCTGTTCTGTACCCAGAGAATGAGGAATTTGTCAAATGTAAGCTCAAGTGTACATAATGAAATTTAAGCATGATAGCTGTACAGTAACTAAGACCAGATTCAATTGCAACTTTTATCCATCCATGTTTTATAAAATGTTTCAGTTTTTAGCTCACCTGAGCCGAAGGCTCAAGTGAGCTTTTCCGATCAAAATTTGTCCGTTGTCCGTCGTTGTCGTTGTTGTTGTTGTCATCGTAAACTTTTCACAATTTCATCTTCTTCTCCAGAACCACTGGGCCAATTTCAACCAAACTTAGCACAGAGCATCCATGGGTGAACGGGATTCAAGTTTGTTCAAATGAAGGGCCACGCCCTCTTTCAAGGGGAGATAATAGAGAATTTGTGAAAAATTAATAGCATCTTTTAAAAATCTTCTCAAGAACCACAGGGCCAGGAAAGATGAAACTCATGTGGAAGCATCCTCAGGAAGTGTAGATTCAAGTTTGTTCAAATCATGACCCCCGGGGATGGGGCGGGGCCACAATGGAGGATCAAAGTTTTACATAGCAATATATAGGAAAAACCTTGAAAAATCTTCTTCTCAAGAACAGCAAAGCCATGACGAGTTATATTTATATGGAAACATCCTCAGGTAGTGTAGATTCAAATTTGTTCAAATCATGACCCCCGGGGGTAGGGTGGGGCCACAATGGAGGATCAAAGTTTTACATAGAAATGTATAGGAAAAATCTTTAGAAATCTTCTTCTCGAGAACAGCAAAGCCATGATGAGTCATATTTATATGGAAGCATCTTCAAATAATGTACATTCAAGCTTGTTCAAATCATGATCCCTGGGGGTAGGGTGGGCCACAATGGAGGATCAAGTTTGTTCAAATGAAAGGCCACGCCCTCTTTCAAGGGGAGATAATAGAGAATTTGTGAAAAAAAATCTTCTCAAGAACCACAGGGACAGGAAAGATGAAACTCATTTGGAAGCATCCTCAGGAAGTGTAGATTCAAGCTTGTTCAAATCATGACCCCCGGGGGTAGGGCGGGGCCACAATGGAGGATCAAAGTTTTACATAGAATTTTAAAGGAAAAATCTTTAAAAATCTTCTCAAGAACAGCAAAGCCATGATGAGTTATATTTATATGGAAGCATCCTCAGGTAGTGTAGATTCAAATTTGTTCAAATCATGACCCCTGGGGGTAGGGTGGGGCCACAATGGACTATCAAAGTTTTACATTGAAATATTTAGGAAAAATCAATTAAAAAAACCTTCTTCTCAGGAACAGGAAAGCCCTGATTGGTCATATTTATATGGAAGCATCTTCAGGTAGTGTATATTCAAATTTATTCAAATTATGACCCCCAGGGTAGGGTGGGGCCACAATGGAGGATCAGAGTCTTACATAGAAATATAAAGGAAAAAATTTTCAAAATCTTCTTCTCAAGAACAGCAAAGCCCTGATTGGTCATATTTATGTGGAAACATCCTCAGGTAGTGTAGATTCTATTTTGTTCAAATCATGACCCCTGGGGGGTAGGGTGAGGCCACAATGGAGGATCAAAGTCTTAAATAGAAATATATATGAAAATATCTTCTCACGAAGAACTGCAAAGCCATGATAAGTCATTTGATATGGAAGCACCCTAAGGTATAGTGTAAACTCAATTTTGTTCAAATGATGACCCCCAAGGGTTGGGTGGGGCCCAATGGGGGATTGAAAATTTTACATAGGAACATATAGGAAAATATCTTCTTATCAAGAACTGAAAATCATGTTTAGTCAATTTGATAAGGAAGCATCTTCAGGTAGTGTAAATTCAATTTTGTTCAAATGATGACCCAGAGCAGTGGTGTATCCAGGAATTTCGGGGTGGGGGGGGGGAAGTAGAGGCATTGGGTCTAGGGGCTGCATTGAAGCCCCCAGTGGGTCTAGAGCAAGGCCCTGCTGGGGGTTCGCGAAGCTGACGAATTCTTACAAAGAAGAGATGTTTTTTCCTTGATTTTAGGATAATGGACATATAAGTTCTACATAAAAAAAATTCAAACGGGGGGCGCACGCCCGGCGTGCCTGCCCTGGATCCGCCTTTGCAGGGGTAGGGTGGGGCCCAATGGGGGATTGAAAGTTTTACTTAAGAACATATAGAAAAAATATTTCTTCTCAAGAACAGAAAAACTATGTTTATTCATATTGTAGATTCAAGTTTGTTCAAATGATGACCCCTGGGATAGGGAGGAGCCACAATGGGGGATCAAATTTTTACAAAGGAATATATGGAAAAATTTTTCTAAAATCTTTTCAAGTACAACAAAGCCATTTGTTAAATTGACATGGAAGGTACCGGTAGTTTAAAATTCAGGCCCCCCCCCCCCCCCCCCCGTAATCTTTTCAATACTGAACTGATTTGTACTTTTGCCTAGGCAATGTGCTCAGGTGAGCGATGTGGCCCATGGGCCTCTTGTTGTATTTGTGGTGTGGTTAACAATCTTTTTCAAGAAATCAATGTATTTAATATGTGATTCTAGGTAAAAAGCCTTCATTAAGGAGTAAAAAGAAACTTAAACTAGAGGTGTCCAAGGGGAGGAGCCATTTTACAAATGGTTCCAAGTCAGTAGTTCATTCCAAGGAAAGTGTGCAGATAAATGAAGAATTGCCAAGTGAAGGCCAATCTAAGGACAGTGTTCAAATAAATGAAAAAACATCAAGTGAAGGTACTGTCTTATCTTTCTATCTCAAAATATTTCATATGCTAACCTAAGCATTGTGGTTCAACACACATATGTTGCCATTATCATTTTAAAATGAATCTTATGATATCTGAATGTGGGACTGGTGCAGCATGTGCTGGGTGAGAAAAGAAAACTTCAAAGACTACTCGTCATCTTATGTGACAACTATGAAGTTCTAACAACTTGTCCCTTTAATTTTAAATTGGTTGCCAGTTATAAAAAAAATTAGTAGACAGGAAAAAAATAGTATTTCTAACAGTAAATTGAGTGTAAAATATTCTATTTACCATATAACAAAATATTTTATCTATTTGATCATAATATGTATACTTTAACCTTGAGTGTATCTATGACCTGAAATAGGAAATATCTATTTCACACTACAATTAAAATTAAAATGAAAATGAAATTCAATCAATGGATTAAACGGAAGTGACATCACATTTTGATAGTAAAAATGTTACGGGCTGTAGAAAACGATTGCTTTTTACTTTTAATGAAACACCATACACGGTGTATACATTGTAAAGGAAATCAACATCTGACCCAAAGACCATAAAGTGAGAACAGACTTTTAAGTCATAATTTTTATTTTGAAGTCTTAAAATTTTGTCAAAATTATGTTTGATACCCAAGCTGTCCATTAATGCTGTTTAATAACAACATAATGACTAGTGTTGTACCGATAATCAGAAAACATCGATTGTCGACGAAAAAATGCTACCAATTCCCATGATCGATTATAATTTTTCATAATCGATCATCGGAAACATACTTCTAATACAATACATTCCGGAATTATCCATTTCTGGTTTAAAATTTATTTCTTCTTAATGAAAGAAAAGGGCGTCTGCATCTGATACTAGCCAACTAGCATGAAGCAGAGGTGATTAAGAACCAAATGGTGCATATATAGGGCCTAAAAAAATTATGTTTGTTTACTGTAACGACCCATTCATTTTAACCCCGAGTGGATTTTTTTCTGCCAAATCTGTGTTTCCTCTTTGGTTTGATCAATCAGCTGATTCTTTTTATTCAAAAAATATTAATTGTACCTTTTATTTGAGATATAAAATATGCAACTTAGTCAACATTTACCTTAAATATAAAGAGTAATCAATTCCCCCTACAACTTTTTGAAGTTCGTTTTCTGCCGCTAGGCAGCCATGTTTGGTGTCCACTGTAAATATGACACCTGGATAATTCAGTCCCAAGATGTTTGACCCCATTATTCATAAGCAAAAAAAAAATTCGGGGACCTACCGACCCTTGATTTTTTGGAATATTACAGAAAACAAACAAACATAATTTTTTTAGGCCTAGAAAGTGTAAAAGAAGCAAAACAACAAAGAAAATAATATATTATATATTCATGTTAAAGAAATAATATGAAATAATTGTAATAGTCTGCTTTTTGTATACAAAAATATGAAATCCGATTATAATTGGTAAAATCGCATCGGAAGCAGTAACCGATTCCAACCGATGATCGATTATGAAAATTAACCGATGTCCCATCACTAATAATTACACAACAGGCTTAATGTACTCTAAATGTATGAAAACAACAATTTATTAAACCTTCCCAAAATATTGTTAGAAGAGGGGTATAAAGAAATCACCTTGTCCTTATACAGGGTTCTAAGTGACCAAAAAAATTTAGGCGCCAGGTGGCTCCTTATTAAAAAATTTAGTTGCCATTGCAGTTGCCAGGCAAATTTTTCCGAGGCGCCAATTTAAAAACATATATTGGTCAATATATGAAGACATGTCCATTGCTAACTTCAATACTTCTCTTCTGCTCTTTATAAAAAAAAAATGTTGAAAATTTTTATAGTTCAGTAATTTGATGATCACCAAGTCAATTTAAAAATGGTCGCCAATTTGGTGACTTACAGAGAAATTTTAGGTGCCTATTAAAATTTTAAGGCACCATGGAAGATCAATTAGTCACCTGCTATGTTTGTCTGTTCAATCTTGTACAGCTATAACTTTTGATGGGGGAATCTTTGGAAGCCCATTCTTAGTACAAAGATTGTTTATGACATGAGGTGCCTCTTGATCTCGACCCAAGGCCATTCCTGCAAGTTTAAGGTCACTGGCAGAAAAAGTACATTTTTGCCTGGGCTTAATCATTTAAATGGAGTATCATTTGAATTTCATACTTCGTAAGAAAACTTTTTTACTTATGGATTTGTCATAACCTTGACCCAAAGCCATTCTGGCAAGTTCATTTCTATTTTTCTTGTATATCAGTTTGACTTGCTTGGTACTTTGTTTTAAAAGGTTTGAAATATGTATATTGACAAGGCACATGCATCACAGATCTTGTAGTTGAAGTCAAAATATGTAGGCTGAAGATAATTTTCCCACAGAAAATAGGTACAATAAGATTTACAATTGCTTTGTAGTAATTCATCTGCATCTCAAAGCATTGCCAAAGCCTGGGTGCAAAAAAAGATATGACAAGATTAACTTCTGTACTTTCTGCGGTAAGGAAATACATTCTAAAATATCCAGACATTTGCTTAGCCATAAGAATGAACTGAAAATAATGGAAATTCAGATGCTGCCAAAAAAGTCAGAGAAGAGAGGAATGCTGTTCCTGGAATTGATCAATGAGGGAAACTATAAACATAATATCGAAGTTTTGAAAAACGGTGGTCTTTTTATAACAGCAAGACGAGAAAGTCCAGATTCATCAAATCATTCACCTGATGAATATCTCCCTTGTGAGTTTTGTAAGGGTTTCTTCCTGAAGAATTTATTGTGGCACCATGCCAAAATTTGCAAATTAGCCTCGGTTAAAAACAATGAAGATGGTGATGAGGATGAAAAGTTGGGAAAGTCTTTTGTTAGGAAAGGAAGAACATTACTATATGGTTCACTGTTTGATGAAAATGAAAGTAATGTTATGCATTTGTTAGAGAGAATGAATGATGGAGAAGAAAAAGAAATCATTAAGAAGGATCTTATAATTAAAAACTTTGCTTCAATTCAAGTTCAAGCTTTGGGAGAAGGAAGAATTCAGAAAAAAAATGACATGCATAGAGTGAGTTCAAATTGCAGAATCCTTGCACGTTTAGTAATTATGGCCCGTAAAGACATACCACTACCATCATTGAATAAGCTACTGTCCCCAGATCATTTTGATAAAATTGTGAAGTATGCAAATGACCTGTCCTCTGAGGTGCCATCTCTTGGCCCAAGAGTGGGCCATCTTATAGGTCATTGTGTAATGGTAAAGAATGGCTATGCAGTAAGGAAAAATGACGAGACAATGTTGGATACATCAAAAAACTTCAAGCATCTCTTCGATTCTGAATGGGGTTTTAGAGTCAATGCACCGTCAAGGAAAAGAAACAGAGTGGCCAATTTAAACAACCCTTCCAAGATACCTAACACAAGCGACTTGGTAAAATTCAGGGATTTCCTCATCTTCGAAATGAACGAATCTGAGCAAATTTTGGAAAGTAATCAAGATCAATTACATTTAGCATGGAATCGGCTTGCCAAGGCCACAATGTGCCGTTTGATACTATTCAACAAACGGAGGGCTGCAGAAGTGGAAGATTTACCTGTGGAGTACTTTCAGAAACATCCAAAATGGACTTCAACTGAGGAATTTGAAGAGTCTCTGACAGATATGGAAAAAACTTTGCAAAAAGGTAGGGGGAAAAATCTGATAAAATTTAAAAAAAAAAATTGAATTCTTGAATTTATCGCAGCACAAACTTAAGGTCACAATCTAATTGGTAAATCAATTTTACACATATACATTATTATGAAAGAAAGACAAAAATGCACACAAAAAGGATACAAGTGAGTTTCCATATGCCTCCATAAGTGTTTATAGTACTTATGGGATATTTTTTATGGTTTATAGATTTTTATAAGAGAGCTGTTCAACTGCATCAACATTTTTGACCTTGATCTTTCCTTTTACCTTGACATCACTTTTCTTAAATTTGCATTTAACACAATTTTAAAGAAACCATTCAAAATAATTTTATCAAACTTAATTTGCTGATAAATATTAGTGAGAGCTATTCAATTGCATCAAAAACTTTTGACTTTGAACTTTCCTGTGACTTTGACATCACTTTTCTTTAAATTTGCATTTTGCTTAGTTTTTAAGAAACCCTTTAAGATATTTTTATTTAAGCTTATGCACTTGTACAAAATTTGGTTATCATTTATCATCTATATCCATTTTTTTTTAGATTTCAATTTCAATTTTGAAGAAACTATTCAAGATATTCTCATCAAACGTCATACACTAATACAAATTATCATGTTGCATTACTTATACCCGCGGCGGGCATTCATGTCCTTTGGACATATTTCTAGTTTATTCATCCATTTATATCTTATGCTTTTAGATTGTAAAATGTAAGCAACATCTGACTTTGTCTACAGTGTACTTGTTATATTTGTAAGGAGTAGCCAAAGCAGATAACAATTGTGCACAGAATTTTATTTTATTTTTTGCACATAGGTTATTAAAAATCTTTCTATTCTTGTAGGATGGATTTAGTCGAAGGTTTTGGGAAATCAAAAAAAAATATGAAGGCATATATTCTTTTGACCCCTGATTCAAAAAGAGCATTAGAAGTTCTCACAAGACTCAGATCTGCTGTTGGAGTTAGCCCAACAAACAAATATATGTTTGCTAGACTGAATTCCAATACACCATTATCTGGGACAACAGCAATGAAGGAGTTGTTGGGAAAATGTGAAGGTTTAAAAAATCCAGAAAATATTACATCAACATCATTGAGAAAATACATTGCAACTGTATCCCAAGTAAGTACATAGCACTTGGTGTTCTCGTCAAATATTATTTGTCTTTTTTCTTGCTTTTTCCAGTTTAAAAAGTTAGGTAAATTGATGATTTATTTAATTACAATGATTTTTCAATAGATATTGGATATGACACAGGGAGAACTAAAACTACTCGCTAAACATCTTGGACATGATGTAAAAACAAACAAGGAATACTATCAGTTGTCATCATCAGTGCTTGAGCTATCCAAGGTAAGAATGTTTTAGTTGTGACAACATTTTAAGAGCTCATGTGCATATTTGTATGTCATAAGATGACCATGCTATCTAAATTTTCACCATGTACTAGAGTGTAAATCTCTTAGCATTTTACCAACAAAGGAGAGTTCACTCAGGTGGTAGAATTATAATGCTCCCCTGCACAGGAAAATGAAAACCTGTGCAACATATATACCTATTATTGTGTAATAGGTATCCTAGTCATGTTTTTACATACCAGTATTACAACAGGTGAAAATGGTACTGTATACAGGGAAATTTTTGCCCCTTTCACCCTCATCACAAGTAGGTGAATTTTAAATGGTCGAATTGAAAGAAGATGGCATTATCTCTTTAATACAACTCTCTTTGGGCAAATTTAAAGGGGCAAAATTGTTTATAGGTATGAATGGGCGAAAATAAAAGGGTGCCAAAAAGAAAAACTGTATATAATAGTCATTTTAGGTCAAACTTCCAAACAGGAAAATTTTCTCCTCCAGAGCAAAAGCTTTATCAATCCTAGAAGATTATGAAATTTAAAGATCAAAAAAAGTGGTGGCTAGTATGCAATAATTAATCATACTCTAGTTGTAATTAATAGAGCATCTATTTTGCCTGTGCTGATAAGTAATGCTAGGCCATTAACAAATCTCTTGCAAGGTCTTTATAAAATACATGTATCTTTAAATGTTTTAGGTTGCTAGGATGCTTTATGCTGTGGAGAATGGTCAAGTCAATGAATGGGCAGGAAAGAAAATGAAAGACATACAGCTGGAAGGTAATTATTTTGTAAATTTTTTTCATGCCTTCTTGTCTTTATTTACTAAGGGCAATTCCAGTGAAAATAATCTACGAGGGATGGATCCCTATTTTTTGTATGGGGGAAGGGAGGTATGGGGGTATTTTTGTGTTCTAAAGAGTTGAGGAAGAGATGCACCCCCAAAGTTGGGGGGAAAATCCTGGGAAAAACGCATTTACTATAGATAAAACGCACCCCCAAAATGCAAATATGGATGTATCTCTTATTTTCACAGCACAACTAATTCAAAGAAAAAGTTTAAAAAGTTAAAATATTCGTATCATTTCAAAAACGAAAGTAGGATACAACTTTAAATTTTCTTGGCAAATTCAGTTTACATATAAGCTTTATTTACATGTATTTAAGTTTAGTTTGTATTTTAATTGTTATTTGATTGGGATAGATTAAAAGCAATGTCCCTAATTCTTTTTTTCTGTAACCCCAAGCATGTAGCGATATTGTGTTGACAATGCATTCCAAGCACATGTCTCTGTTTACTTAAACAAATCATCCCAAGTGTAATTAGTGTCACACTGATGTATATAAGTGATACCAGGTAATTAAAAAGGTGTGTAAAACATTTATTGTTAAATAAACTTTACTGATTACGAGTGTATTGTTTAAAATGGCAGTTGTTTCGAAACCAACTGGCCAGAAATTGTTATATAAAAAAAAATATGATCTACATTAGGGTTGAGTGGAGTTAAATTTGGCGGTGATGATATACATTTTAGAAAAAGATAAATAAGGTTATTTTTATACGCCCGTCTTAAGCTGGGACGTATTAAGTTATGGTGTTCATGTCCGTCTGTCCATCCGTCTCTTAGCTTTTTTGTGTATGGCTCATAACTTAAATACTATTAGGCCTAGAATTACCAAACTTTGGCAGCTGATTCTTCTTGGGTAGAAGGTGTGTTGCACATTAAAAGTAGGTCCCTCTGACTTTAAATTAAGTTGCTATGGCCAAATATGGAAAAATCATGTCCGGCTCATAACTAGAAAACTATTGGTTCCATTTTAGTTTGAAATTTTTCTTCAATATGGTTTTATGTACTGGTTAAAAAATCCAAACAGACCTTTCCTTATACAAGTTAAGTTCAATCTACACATAAGTCCAGTCATTTGTTTAAGATTTGCTCCATTAGAAAAAAAAAATGTTGGACACAAAAGAAAAGATTGTAGTAATGAGAAGGTTCCTTTGTTTTGAAAGATCTTATTTTTTTGAGTGTGTGAAAGATACAGTCATATATATACATACAAGATTTCTAATCATTTGAAGTTTACATTGAAATCAACCCTATAGTTTGGTATTTGTATGTTTAATTTAATATATACTTTTTTGACCCAATAATTTTTAAAATCTGTTTTGCACATGTGCAGGAAGGAAGTTATCAGCCATATTTAATCATCCAAAAATCTTCCCAGATATGATACAAAACATGGCAGATGAGTTTGCATTTGGTTTCCTTGCCTTCAATGACAATTTTCAATTTTCTGAAGCATGCTCCTTTTGTTCTGATTTAAATTTGGATGTTCTGGACTTGTTGCTTATGGAATAGATATTTTGTGCTTTTTTAAATGTGATGAATTTTTCATATGTAAATTTTTTTGTGAGCTGAATGGCTTTGATATAAAGAAGTATGTACTTTAAGCTTAATTTTTTCCCCTCACATTACCAATATAAGAGAGTGCATTTTTTTAAATATCCATTTACTTGACAACAGGCTATGGAGATGCAGTTTTATGTGCATCCGCTAAGTATTTTAAAAACTTCCAAAAATTTAAGATGCACACAAAAATTGCTGGGATACCCTTGCTTATTTACAAGTAAGTACCAATGTTATGTCATAAATTCACACATGATAAGAAGTTTAATTAGTTTCAGAAAGTATTTCAGGAATTTTAATGCTGTTTGACAAGGTCTCCAAGATGCATATTTTGGGGAAGATTTTTCGCAACTAGAATTAGATCACTGGCCTCAATTTGGAATTGTATGACTATGCATTGTCAGAATCAACATGGTCAAGGTCTTATCTTGCACACTGTGTGGCCTGGGGCCATCAAATGACCAGTCGATGCATCTTTGGAAATGTTGGTTGCAAACCAAAGTATTTCACAATTGTCTTATTTAGGAATTTTATGGTTCTACTTTCTATGCATATTCAAGCCATGTTCACATTTTGCACTCTGTGAGACTCAATTAATAAAGGTAGTCCTCTGACATAGGCAACATAAAAAAAAAAAGGACTATAAAAATGAACTATCGATACTTCCAAGACAATTTGATTTTTCAGTTTCCACTGTATCTGTCTTTGCAATATATGATATAATGCATAATACATGTAATATGTAAAATTAGACGTTTTCTTTAATTCACAGAACTTCCTGAACCTTTACCAAAGGAAGGTGATCTGGATTATGAATTGGCGGGGAAGGAGTATCAATCTAGTTCCACAGTAGCTCAGGCATCTAGTTCCACAGAAGCTCAGGCATCTAGTTCCACAGTAGATCAGGCATCTAGTTCCAAAGCAGATCAGACATCTAGTTCCACAGTAGATCAGGCATCTAGTTCCACAGTAGATCTGGCATCTAGTTCCACAGCAGATAAACCATCTTGTTCAGATCATGAACAGTCCTCAAATTCAGATAGTGAACAGCCACAGTATATTAGATCAAAAGGTAAATAAGTCCTTGGTTTCAAGAATTTGCAATAGTATATCACTTTAAAACAAAATTTAAAAAAATGTTACTTTAAAGTGGTTTTTGATCCTTGTTATTATGGATGAAATATATCAAATAAAGAAAAATTTAGCTCACCTGAGCCAGAGACTCAAATGAGCTTATCTGATAAAAATGTGTCCATTGTTTGACATCTTTGTTGTTATGGTTGTCATTTGTAAACTTTTAATAGTGTCATCTTCTTATTCAGAACCACTGGACAATTTCAGACTGAACACAGAGTATCCCTGGATGAAGGAGATTCATGTTTGTTCAAATTAAAGTGTCACTTCATCTTCTAAGGGGAGATAGTGAAGAAATAGTAAAAATTGGGTTGTGTCATTTAAAATTTGAAAAATCTCAATAACCACTAAGCCAGAGAAGATGATACTTATGTGAAAACTTTCTTGTGGTCCATGGGCCTTTTGTTCAATGATTACTTTGAATGTTTGTAATGAGTCTATGAGGTTCTCTAGTATTATGGTGATGTCAGAAATAATCATAATTCCTAGTGACCTGAAAATGTTTATAATTTTCTCAATTTGATTAGGACTATTGCAGCTTAATACAGGTATATCATTAAGTCAAATTAAGATGATATAACATAATCCTACCTTAGGTTTTATGAGGCAGTGGCATTTCAACTTCTGTCATGAATGATGTACTGTTTTTTTCTAGTAAATAACTACAGCATAGGAGATCAACATCAAACATTAGAAATAGATAAATCATTTAAATCTATATAAAAAGGTTGACATGATTTTATTCTATGCACATTCATTTCTGGCTTGCCATGTGCCATTGTGATGCACTTGAGTCTCGTATTCATAACCAATTTAGTTCCAAGCTATACCCAGATAAAAAGCATGCAGTTTATTTGCTATGCATTTATGGCCACATTCTTTCTGATTTTAGGTTGTAAAAGAAGATGGACAGATGAAGAGGAAGAAGAACTGATGGAAGCATTTGGGATACAGATTAAGAAAAAAATGAATGTGTCCACCAAAGCAATCCGATATGCACAGTCAAAATATAAAACATTACATAGCCAGTCAGAAGCGGTAATAAGATCCAAAATGAACAACATCATTTTAGGAAAAGTCCAAAAAAAGAGATAGACTACAAATGAAGTCTTTTGCAGGATTCATTATGTTTTAGAATTATTTAGTGAAGTTACATTTCCTGATCAACATTTGTCCATTGTCTTCTGTTGATTTTTAATCCATATAAAGCACAGTCAGCATCAGATTTTCATTTAACCACTTGAATTTCTCATGACCAAATTATTTCCAATATAAAACATGTGCTACAAATTTGTAATGTCTTTAAAAGGATTAACTAAGGGGGGAAACAGCTTGTATTATCTCTGGGCACATGAGATTAAATTGTTTTTGTCTCTGTTTTTTGTCCATTAAACTGTTTAAAATTTTGAAAATGTTTCCCTTTTTACATCATGTGACTTTAAAATTTTGTGAAATACATCAGCACCATTTTTAAAGATGTGAGGATCTTGTTACTTTTATGCAAGAGGACTATAGAATTAAATAGCTCATGAACACATCTACGTAATTGGTTGAATAGTCTTTTTTACCTTGTACAGATCTACCTTTATAAACATGTTCACATACTTTTTGTCAGGCTCCTTTATTATTTTCATGAAAAATGAGAGTGAATCAGAGAGATAAAAAGGGTTTTAAAAAGTCTTTGAACTCTTTTCTTCATGCATGTTTATAATATGAGGATATACTTGATATTTTTTAAGATATGATGAATGTAGAGGAATTATTGCATCATCCTGAATCTTTGTGCAGTTGTTGAAGATTTGCATGTTAATGGGATGCAAGGATCCAATTACCGAGTCCCAATCTAGTTGGTCTGCACATACATTTTCACACAACTTCGTTTCAGATGCTTCACAGTAGCCTTGATTGCCGTCATAATTTAATACAATAACGTCACAGTAAAAATTATGTTTAATTGTGCTAAAATATATCGCTATTTGTGTGTGTTGACTGTGTGTGTTAAAAGCTCAAAATTTTGTTTTAATGAAACATTTTGATTAACATGATTAAAGAAAACAACTTAGTAAAAAAAAAATTATTATGAGATATTGTGAATTTTTAAGTAGATATTCATAAGTTTATCTTATTTTATTTTAATTTTTGTGTTTAAAAAATGCAAAAAAAAAAAAAGAAAAAGAAAAAAAAGAAGCATGTAGTCTTTCTCCTTGAAAATCTTATTTTACCAATTCTGTTGATAAATTAAAATATGCGTGCAGTAGATTAATTTTTTTTTAAATTCTATTGGTCATTGAAATGCAACCAAAAAGAAATACTTTAGTTTCCCTCATATTAACACAACTTTGTAATTTTATGGCCTTTATTGCAAAAAAGATATGTAAACAAAATATTTCACCGAATAGTTTTTTATAAGATATCAATTTGGCATATAATTGTGTGTAAAACCACAAAAAATTGTCCATATTTTGAAATTGCCCCCATTTGACTACAATCAAGGCAACAAAATTTCAATCCAATTTTTCTTAGCATGTTACATACAAAAATTAAAAAAAAAAATTCAAAAATATTTGCCTGTCCATTTTAATGATTTCTAACTAGATTGGACCTCGTTAACACAATCTGAAAGAAGTGGTGGATAAAGAATGTCATCTTTATAGCTGTATTCCTGTTATTAATGTCCCTATTTTGCTTATGATATGAAATATTAGAGTGAAGGTTAGTTTTATACACTTGAAATATTGAATTCTTTAAAATAATTAAGTGAAGTTTTCTGCTTATACATATTAATATATGTATAGGTTTAGTTTTACTTTTAAGCACCAAGTAGTAATAAATGAAATTATCATTCATGTTTTAATTTTATTTTTGATGAAGACAACAGGCATGTAATCCAGATATCCCCCCTTTTTTTCTTAGCAAACATATCTGTGTCACATGTACCTGCAGTGCACAGGGGATACTAAGAGAGACAAGCGCCCAGAAATAAATAATTTCAGAATTATTTGACTGTACGCTTTTGGAATAATATTTACCTCTTAATAGTACTGGCCATGGAACTAAAGAGTCAAGGTTGAAATTTTTGCGGACAGACCTGCAGAGGGATGGATGGTTGGGGAAAAAACTATATGCCCCAAAATTTTCGATTACTGAGGCATATACATGTATAAGAACTGTTGAATTTATGGAAAATTATCCAATAAAGATGAAAATGTCAGGTCACATTTTCATATAGTGGACAATGAGGGTACAAATTTTCAGAAAAACTTGGAACTTAATTTAGTGTCATCAATGAGACGCTGGTGTATCTCCTTCCAAGTACCAGTGTCTTTCTAACGTCCTACAAGTGACGTTTTATGACTTAAACACAAATTGATTTCGCGAATTTGTAAACAATACATTTGTGAATCATGCTACTGAATTAAATGTACCTTCATTTGTATTTTATTCTTATGTTTTATGCTCTAAGTAATGCACAGTTTCTTTTTTTCCGCTAGACAAGTATAGTATATTTTTAATAATTGGGTCTAAGACACAATAACATGAATGCAAAGCCATATATACAGCTGTAAATTAATCTATTTCTCAAACAATATAATCATAGCTTTCAAGAGTAGCAGAAAGACAAAGCCTTCACAAATTACCGGAAATACTAATCGATATAATCGATCATAACTGATTAGACCCAACAGTTAATCTCGGAATATATATACGTTTTTCAATAATAGGGTCCAAGACCCAATTCCACAGTTTAAATGGAGTAGGTATATATACAGTTGGTAATCAATTTAGTCTCTTTTTTATGGTATATATAGCTTCCTGACGTGATATTGATATTATCAATCTGATCCCGTCTTCGCATAACAACAGATAACATTTGGCCCAATAATTCATAAATAGAGAGCAGACCCGATAAATAAGCAAGTTTGAGTATATATATATATATATATATATATATATATATATATATATATATATGAAAATTAAAAATAACAAGGCAACAATGTTAGTAAAACGTAAGCGCTTTCATTATACTTCTTCAGACGTTTTACCTGTCAGAACCTTAAATTGTTCTTTAAAACAATCATTATTCATTTGGTACACGTACAATCATTATGGGTACATTTTTATTTCATCTCTATCAGCAAAAAGAGTTTTATATTAAAATCTTTTGATGTTTTAGATGATATTTTATGCAAGTGCAGGTAATAACGTCAAAACTCTTTATTTTTACGTCTGTGACGTAACATGTTAACATTTATTTTTTGTGTAAATTTTGTCCCCATTTTATTGAAATTATATCAATTGCTGACTGACTTTTTCATAGACATTGTTAGGCCATTATTTACACACTGAATTGTCGACGAATTTTCCCGTTATTTCCCGATCATGACAAGGAGCACACAGCGGGTGTGACCGGTTGACAAGGGATGCTCACTCCTCCATGGCACCTGATCCCACTTCTGATGTCTTAGAGGTCCTTGTTTGCTCTGCTCCTATTTTGTAATGTTTAATGGACTTTTGAGCTCGAATACTATATTTCACTAACAACATTTTGAAGAGTTGAACATTTGCTAAAAATCCCTTAATTTTCAAGCTGTCTCTATTTAATGACTACAAATATGATTTATCCAACCACAGTTGTACCATAATTATTAGATTGATTAGTTTTGGACAATGTGTGACATTCAATATTGACTTCTTTTAAGAATCAATTCACTTTTACATCTCAATGAAGTTCTATATTTTGCACACTTTGTATTTAATTTGTTTCGTGCCAAATAAGAAAAAAAATAATCCTAAAAATGAAAGCAATTTATTGAGTGTCATATTTAAATATGACTTTTTGGGCCTCAAATTTCATTGTGAAACATAGCTACATGTTGTACATATATGTGACACGGTAATTATTCTTAACATTTACGACATCTCAAGTTAAAATTCTTTATAGATATGTTTATCTTAATAACATGACAACAGTATTATAGAATTTGAAAAATATTTAACTTTCAATTGATTTTTCACTCCGTATTACAAAATTAGCCATCCTACGGATCTTAAAAACTTTTTGTCACTGAACTTCCAAACTTTGTGACACACCATCTTATTCAATATCCTCCTAGTGAAACTTCTAAATATCAGGTACCCAACATACATACCAACACAAAATATCATTTTATTCTAAAATAAAGTTCTTTACGCACAAAAAGGATTATCGAGATGTAATTTCAAAATTTTATTTAGCTTATTTAATATTTTTCTAACTACCCAAATACATTTCATGTCCATTCCATATTTCTTCGGTTAACGCTTATTTACATCTCTGTCTTGCATTTTGAGCGACGCGTTCACCGCATACGGATTGAATTACATCTCAATTGTAAGAATTTACATCATATTTTGAATTTTATCTTGGTATTATTTGTTTTATGGAAGTTATTAACATTTTGTTATATTTGCATGTGCCACGCTCCCGTTACCTATATACCTGCGTTTTGGACATAATTGACGGAATAGTCGAATTACATGTAAAATATTTGATGAATGGATTTTTTTTTACCAATATTAATTATAAAATGTATTTAGTATTCAATTACCGACCAAATGATATTTAGTTTTCATACAGTTAATTGTTTCAAAACAAAAAAAAAAAAAAAAAAAAAAAAAAAAACCAAAAAAAAAAAAAACAGCGCAAATGCTGCCGCAATGGAAATGTTGACTTCTTGACACCAACATCGTGCGTGACGTCTTAGCAATCTCCTGTGTACTTGTGAGATTCTTCAGTGTATTTATATTATATATACCTTATTTACCTTAATAATTTCTTGTAAGATTTTCATGCCTCTGTATATGTCTATATACACACACTCTAGTGTTCTGCAATGATCCGACCGAGAGAAGATGAGATTTGTGATTATAGTTCAGACAGTGTGGATCTTCTATACCTTCTTTTTTCTGTCAGTATCACTAAAAGAAACTCTCCATCCTTGTCAATCATCTGTACTGTCTTGCAGGTACTATGAAGAAATAACGGGTACTCCAGTGTGTATCTTTTATCAAACAACCAAAATGAATTTGAATTACCATATTTATATTGGATTCCGAAACTTCATAAAAATCCTTACAAACAAAGATACACAGCGGGTTCCAGTAAATTTTCAACCAAGCCTCTATCTTTACTCCTCACTAAGATATTAACAGTGGTGAAGGAGAAACTTCAAGAGTACTGTGCAACAATATATTCGAGAAGTGGTGTAAATCAGATGTGGATACTTAGAAATTCCAAGGAACTTTTGGAAAATTTGAAATCACAAGATTTTACCAAAATCAACAGCTTAAAAACTTACGACTTTTCAACTTTGTACACAACCATTCCCCACGATAAAT